AAAAACAATGCAATTATTTTCCCAATCTCCATGTACACATGTGAAAGCTGGACACTCAAGAATGGAAAGTCGATGTCTTCGAACTGTGGCGCTGGAGGTGTATTCTATGAGTGCCTTGGACATCAAAAGTTACAAACAAGACAATCTTAGAGCATGTTAAAACAGAGATATTATTGGTGGGTAAAATTACTAAGCTGCGGCACTCAAACTTTGGACATATCAATTCCTTGGAAACAACTTTAATGCTCGGCATAGTCAGCAGGAAAAGAAGAAAAGGATGCCAAATATGGGCCAAGATTTTTGTACTTTCAAAAATAAATTCACTTTTCACAATGCAAGGCCAGTTAATTAAATCAGTGGACAAAAGGGTGATCAAAACTGTGAAAAAACTGTCATCTAAAATCTTGATGCAAAAAAGTTCATGTCTATTTGTTAACAACTACCCATTTCTAAAACTAAAATGATACAGCATTATGATGTTAGATGTTAAATGTGTTGTGTTAGTTTGCACTTATTCTCTATCTACACACACATACACACTCGTGCATGTCTAAATATATCTGAAACTGTTTTCACAGCCTACTTTGAGTCTACATCTGAAGCTCACATAAGTTTCTCATCCTGCTGTACGATTAAACAGCGCGATGCCTTTGAACCCTAGTCGCTCCAGAGCGAAGGATCGCAGCAGCAGTGTTCTGGGCCAGGCCGAGTTTCTGTCCCTGAATGTCCCACTGCGAAACAACAGAGCGTGGAGAAGATCTGGCCAGTCCAAGACCCATCAGAATCAGCAGAACGAGATCCCGCTGGAGCCGGGCGAGAACGTGAAGGAGCGCGGAGAGACAACGAAGCTGCCGGATGAAGACTGCATGCTGCTCAACCCGGCCTTCAGAGGCATCGCCATCAACTCGCTGCTGGCCATCGACGTCTGCCTGTCCAAACGCCTGGGTGTTTGCATCCACACCACGTCCTCATGGGGGAGCATGCGCTCAGCGGTCACGCTGCT